GGAGCTGTTGTTTTAATTTAAAAACAACAACTCCTACATCTCTGTGTCTTATGTACAAAAGCACAAACACAGAAACTAGTGCACTGCTCAGACATGTAAGACGTGGGGAACTTACACAGGGGTTCAAGTGCTTGTAACAGAATAAGCAGACCAAGGCAGCCAGGTAAAAATACACAGGGGCAAAAACACATTCATAGATACACACACAAACATGCAGAAGGGCACCCAAAACTGCAGACATAAAGTGCACAGTTAGATGCACCCCTTAGAAGCCATTAATACTTTTCAAACCAGGCACACATGTAGGAAGTTTTTGAATACTCAAGATCACACACTGAGTGACTTCAAGCTAACACCCATCTTTAGACTTGCTTGCAGTTTGTGTGTGTGTGTGTGTGTGTGTGTGTGTGTGTGTGTGTGTTTTTCTGGCAAGCAAGGATTCCTTCTGAATTGATACATTTCTTTATAGCCAGGATTCCTACTGATTTGGTATAAATGAGTCATAGATCAAGAAAAGCAATCTTGATAGCAAGAAGAAGAGAGACTGCTAGTGAGGGACACTGGCACACAGAAACTTGACAGTCCCCTTACTGCCTCCCCTCTCGTCTATTCCCCCCTCCCATGCCAAGACATTAATTCTCACAAGTCGGAGAAAATTACTATGCATGAATGCAAAAAGCATGATCAGGAGTAATTAACATGGCTTCATATGCAAATTTTATTAATGCAGAAGTACAAAGTCATTATGCAAATGAAACTTACGTCAACTCTCTTGACAAATATTCATCTCTGAAGCTCAAGTTTCTCCCTTTTTCTAAAAAAAAAATTGCTCTTTCAATTTAAAATAAAATAAAATAAAATTGAAACAGGGAGGGGTGGGAGAAGTGATGAGGACCATTTGACAAGTTTGCAAAGTTGTTTTTCAACCAGATAAATTTATTCTTGCATTGTTAGGTTTTTTGTTGTTGTTGTTGTTGTTGGCAGGTACACGACAGCTCATAGAGAAAAGCAGGAGGGGGGGGAGAGAAAGCTACCAGCAGCAGGCAGCCAATCAAAACGCCAGCGGCAGTAATGAGCGCGATTGATGACTGTTTGGCTTTACTGCAGGGTAATGAACTAGAATCCAGTCTGAGGAGGAAAAAAATATGAATATTCATGAAGCTGTGCTCCTGCCTTTGATGATTAAAGAAATTTTTAATATTCAAATAAGCGCTTGCCAAGTGATTAACAAAGAACAAGCACGCAGGAATATGGAAATAGAGCTGCAGAAGATTTGGGAGTCACAGCCTGTGCTGCAAAGACAGCACAAAATTTCAAAAACAAGATAGGCAGATAACCCAATTGAAATCATACAATTTTTAAAAATAATAATAATAAATAAAAATGCATTGGTTCAATATTTTATCAGCTGCTTTGTTTAAAAAGTGTGGGTGGAAAGAAGGCCTAAGTGGGTAGTAAGATTGGATCAGAGAAGGGGAAATCAATTAAATATACTGTTTGCTCACAGACGAAAAGCCCATTTCCTCACAAAGCCTACCCTGAGAAGAGGATTCGGCTTTTTTTAATTATTATTTTCTGGTTAGAAACTGATAGAGCTACAAAAGAATAACTCTACTGGGAGTTATTCATACATTGCTTTTCATAATTTGATCCTGAAGTGTTGATTGTGTCATGGAAGGTGTAGAGATCATCATCTCTAGAACCACAGTCCCCCCAAAAAAGAAGCCATTTCTGGGTGGAAGCAAATGTACGGAAAAGGTTACAGACAATAAACTGAAAAAATCAAACTATTGCAAATCTCATGCTTTTCTGTTGCGTATGTACATTACGCACTCAAAGCCATGTTTGTGAACTGTGTTTTGGATAGCATCCTATAGCTCTCTTGGCTAAAAGATATTAAAATTCTGCAACCCAAACTGCATGCCAATGTAGCTGAATTCTGCAACTCACGTGGATTATGCAAACTGATTAAATTTGCATAACTAATCTGGTTTTGTTAGTCACAGGGATTCGACCATCTTTCTGACTTGAGATTTAGAAAGTACAGTGGTACCTCGGGTTAAGTACTTCATTCGTTCTGGAGGTCCGTTCTTAACCTGAAACTGTTCTTAACCTGAAGCACCACTTTAGCTAATGGGGCCTCCTGCTGCCGCTGTGTTGCCACTGCACGATTTCTGTTCTCATCCTGAAGCAAAGTTCTTAACCCGAGGTAATATTTCTGGGTTAGCAGAATCTGTAACCTGAAGCGTATGCAACCTGAAGCATATGTAACCCGAGGTACCACTGTAGTGCCACTCACAAGCATATTTTTCAAGCCATAAGGGCTAGAAACTTGATGGAGTGTTTTTGTTTTGTTATTTTAATCACAGCTGAGATTCTCAAGAAGCTGGATGTCACATTCTGCCCTCTTTGCTGCTGTGGAATTAGGGTATATTCTCAGCCTTTCCTATGAGTTAGATAAGAGGTGAGAGTGTAACTTTGCATAGTATTAGACGTAACAGAAATGCTCTGGATTTCCACAGAAGCTGAATCGTTAGCAATGGGTCATAGTTTAATGATATAGCATATGCTTTGCATGCAGAAAGCCCTAATTTCAGCTCTTGATATCTCCAGTTAAAAGGATCAGTAGCAGAGCTGGAAAAGATCTCTGCCTGAGACCTTAGAGAACTGCTGCCAGTGGAAGTAAACAGCAGTAATCTAGGTCAGCAAATGGTCTTGCTTAGAATAGGTTCAACTAATATCAAACACGTAGATGGGATGGAAAGCGTACAGCAGATCCTCTTTACAGGAAATATTGCCTTTTCTCTAAACCCTGTCTCTTCCTTAATGCTGAATGTAGCTGTATAAGGCAGTTTCACATGTTCAAGCTAGGGACCATCGAAGTATCTAAAGAGGAAAGATGCTTCCCTTTCGCATAGGATTTCTGAGCGGTTTTACAAAATAACCTACTAGTGTTACATAACATCAGAAGAATTCAGGCTCTCACAATTTAACAACTTCACTAACAGATTCACACCGGTGTGTGTAAAAAAACGGTATCCACTGCCAAAACGGTTTCCCCGGTTCAAATGCATTCAATTAGCACCTGACAACATGAACTTTTTGGCAATTTTGAATGGGGCATGTTGAGTTCTACACCTTCTCTAAGCTGAGTGCTCTCTGGCATATCAGAGATGAGAAACAGCACTGTCATCTCCTGCACGAAGAAGAAAACAATATAGTACTTCCTGGGTTTTCTGATTAGACCTATGTGCATGGCCAAAGGAGGGATTTAACTTTTCAGGCTAAATCTCTTCTGGCTTACAACACAGAATCTCTTCAAGTTTCATGTAGTTGGCCAGATCTCTCTTTGCAAAACGCTTGGCGTTACGCTACAAAAGGGTCACCTGAAGAACAAAGGAACAACCCTTCTAAAAGATCCAGGCCCACCTAACATACTTGGAAGGTTTATATTCCGGAAATGGTTTTAATCAATTAGCTTATGTACACACAGCAGATCACCTAGAGAAGTAATTCCTTGGCCATACCCATTTCAGGATATTGCATGTTTTAATACCGCCCCTTTAAAAAAAACACACCACAACCCTTCATGCAGAAGACTAGCTTCTTAAAAAAAACCAAACCCTTCTCCCTGACGTGCCAGTTTTTTATATAGGGATTCTTAATAAAATATCTTTACTGATTTTTGGATAAGAAATTGTTTAGAAAAGCAAAAAATCCCTGGAAGTAAAGCAAAAAAATATGGGAATATAACAAAAATAGAGGTCATAAGCATATTGCAAAGCTTTCATATTTGTCAAGGGCAGCAACACACACCCAATAAACAGTAGTGCCCCAATGAAGCACATGGCAAATGTTGTAATTGTTCTGCAGTAGTGTATAAAATAAACTCCCACCATGCAAACTGAAATGAATCTTGTTTGGCTGTGCTACATGGAGCTCTCTCACATGCCTTTTTTTTTCTGGAAGAGAGCAATGTTCCCAACATCAGACAACTAACAAAAAACATGGAGGTCAGACATAGTTTCCCATTTCTGTAAAAATGAGAGGTGTGCAGCCACTAATTAAAAATAAATCAATAGTAATTTTGTGAGTTTTATATCATTATTATCCTTCTCAAATAAAGAATTACCAGTTGTCGGGAAAACTTAGCAGGTTACTTAATTTTTTTAGAGACTTACGGTATTCAAAAATGATTTGAAGACCAGAAAACTGTTACTAATGGACGCTACCACCGTAAGTGGAAGTGTGTAACACGGAACTCGCAACCCTGCCAACTATCTGGCATTAATCTAGAGGTCATACGTGAGTGATGGACCAGGATCCAGTACCATTTATGGTTTATATTGGTTTATTACTTAGGTAGGGATTTTTGCTCATTCAAATGTGTTATATCCACTATAGCAGCAGTGTGCACACACAGACACACACACACACAGAGAACTGGTACAGTACAGAAACAGTTTTATCACACAATATGCAGATTCATTTACACACATAATACCAAAAGTTTGCACTAGCATGTTGGCCTGAGATCTTGGAGCAATGTATCTAAAACTGGGGTTCAAGAAAACTATGAAACATAGAGCTGACTGAATATGATTTGTGGTGTTTCAGTATGCCTTAATCTGTCTGCAGGCTTCTATAAACCTAAGTCATCTGAAATTTTAAATGGTGGTGGATTTCAGCTTCCGCTTTTTGCCTGATTCTCCCTCAAATATGAATTGAGACTTTTGCCAAATAAAAACATGAGTGCATAACTATAAAGACCATGAAGCGGGTTAACAATTCAGAGCAAGATATTTGCAATGGTTTGGGGGGTATTATACAAATGTCCATTCCTAAAGGAAACAGATATTTCCTCCATTGTGTTTTGAAAGAGCCCCCTCTCTGCTCATTATCACGCCATAATGATCTTTCAGTGAGTTCAAGGGGCAACACGTTCCAGAGAACAGAAGCAATCTGGGAAAATTAGGACTATGTTTTCTTTTGTTTTTTTTAAAAAAACAGCTTCTCCGCTTAAGCTCCACAAAACCATGCACACACAAAAATTCTCATTGCCCACCGGCAGGGAGATACTGAGTGCTAATTCATTAATAATAATTGATACCAATGAGTTTTTCATTCCTCTAATGGCTTCTATTCAAGGATGCTGAAGTACTGCAGGAGCTTAAATGAACTTAGCTTTAAAACGCCCATGTGAGCTTAGTAAATGAAATTGTTCTGTACATGCAAACTATTTGCCTGTGTGAACCTCATATATCGAAGTCTTTACTACACATAGCTCGAGGTCCAGGAAGTTGAGAGGTCAGGATGACTTAGCAAATTAGTTAAAAAATATTAAATAGAGCCCCCTTGCCTTTCCATGGTGTGTACAATGTTTTTTCTTCCTCTTTTTTAGTGTGTGGCATGTTTTTAGAGTGTAGCTTTACTTCACAACAGCTAGGCTATTAGCAAGAGTAGAAATTCACAGGCAGAAATGCACCTCAATTACAATGGCATGACAAAGGTCCCTATCCAAGCTTTGCAAATGATGCACCAACTTCCTCCTCAGTGTTCCTGCTGCACTCTTTCCACCTTGCCTCCAAGTCAACAAACAACAACATTCATTCTTCCGCCAGTCTCCAAACCCCTGGCTTCAAAAGAAGAAATAACACCTCAGCTTAAAAGAAACAATAACACTCTCTTGTATGTATGTATGTATGTATGTATATACATCCCTGTGACATTACAAATCGTAAGCCTCCCATTTATAACATGGAAGAAAGTGCTTAACACAGCAGCTTCCTCGTCCAAGTATACAGATGGACAGTCGAGGGATTGACAATGCTCTACAGTCTACTCTAAAGGTTAAGTGGGTGGCATTCAGCTTAAGTTTTACTCACTCACTGAAATGGATGGACCCAACTTAGTCATGCTCATTAATTTCAATGGGTCAACTCTGAGTAAAGCTTAGTTAAGTACCACCCATTATGAGTTTAATAAAACTGGACGCCCGGTTTCAAACTGAGTTTCATCAAAGACACACTCAAAGTAGAAAACAAATTAAACATGCACAAGTCTGAAATGTGAGAGACTAACTTATGAAAGCATAATCACATTTGAGAACAATTTGGGGATTTCAGTGGATAGCCATCTAAATGTGAGTCAGCAATGTAACACTATGGTCTTCAAACATTCTAATTTTAGGGATTTTTCCCCCACATCAGTATGCTGTGTAATCCCTGTACATCTGCCACATCTGTGCCACATTCTGGGACATTTTCTAAGGTTCACAGTCAGATTATGCAGAGCACTGTTCAGACCTGTGGGTTCCTACAATGGCTGCAAACGAACAGAGACTTCTAGACTGCGTACAGAACTTCTTTTTGGGAGAGCAGATTTACAGTGGTGGGCAAGCTGTCTTTCAGGAGACTCCACTGCCATTACTGATCTTTCTTTTAAATTGATTAGCTTCGAAGGATGCTCAGGATTTCTAGGAACCTAGACTGATAACCACTGGAATTTAGAAAGCTACCCTTATAGCAGGATGGACTATGTGCTGGCAGCAGCTCTCCAGGTAATGATCTAATCCGTTCCCTGCTACCTGGTTGTTTTAACTGGAGATGCCAAGGACTGAACCTGTGACCTTGTGCATGGAACACATGTGTTCTACCACTTGACCCATGGCCAACAGACAATTGCCATTTTCAGCTGCATCAGCCATTATTCCAATACTTGCAAGATAACAGCTTTAACCAACTCAGCTAGGGGAGTGCATTTAGAACATTATTCACAAAGGAAGATGACTGAATGGAAAGCAATGAGAAGAAGGCCACAAAGGCGATCAAAGGGTCCCAAAGTCAAGTGTCATGAGAACATATAGGAGGAAAACTGGTATGTGTAGCCTAAGGAAAAGAGGATTTAAGGGATATAGGCTAACCGTTTTCAAGTATTTAAAGCTGGGTGCTCACGCAATTAAAAATCATAAGCACACATGCGGTAATCAATTAACAACGTTTTCATAAATTTGCATATGAATAAAACAATAGTTTTGGAGAGGATACACACACATACATCATAGCAAGCAGCAACCTGGAAGAAGATTTGTGTGAGAGAGAAGGCAGAATCTCTCTTCTTAGATGGTGCCAGCTGCCTGTATCATATGTAAGAACAAGCTTTAAAAATAATGAAATATCGACAAAAGTATTCTGGCCTATTAATCGTGGGCACCTTTTTAATCAGTGAAAATGCTTCTAATTGTTTAAGCTAATTAATCTGTCAACAAAGACCGCCATTCCTATGCACACTTACTTAGGGAGTAAGTTTCATTTACCACAGTTGGAATTTTGAACTTCTGTGTAAGGTAGAATTCCATATGCTGCAGCCCAGATTTAAAGGCATGTCAGACAGAAGTGTGAGAAGAACTGTTCTGTGTATCCATTTAGGCTAGGACAAAGAGTAATGGTTTTACAGCACTTAGGAAGTAGGTTTAGATGAAAAGAACTTGGCAATTGTTAGGTGGGGGGGTCTGAACACAGAAGCACGCGGCTCACAGCTCTTGTAGAAACTACTTCAGGTGGAGTTTCCTGGAATAGGCTGGACAGTCATGTGATTTTAGGTAAAGCAGGTACTACCTGAGAACACAATGCTAGTCTCAAATCCATTCCAGTCCTATGGTTTTAAACAGATCTCAGCAGTTGTCAGCTAGAACCTATGTGCTGCATGGAGAAGTCCTAAATCATGGATGTCAAAGGAACTGTCCCATATAAACAACCAATTACCTGTGTTATTAAATTATATCTCATAATAAATTATGAAAGGAACAACGTCCACGGTCAATGCCTCTTATTATCTGTACATTTATTTATATCTATATAAACGTATGAGTTGCCTTTATACAGATTATTCAAGGCAACTTACAATAGAAAAGTATTTTTTTAAAAAAAACAAACACCCGCAATAATACAAGGTTAAGTCATAAAAATGCTAAATACAAATTTCAGACAAACCCTTAAAGAAAGCCTGAACCTTTGAAAGGTCTAATTGCCAGCCACTAAAAAGCTTTAAACATTTCTGCAACAGTGATTACTGCACAGGCAGAAAAGCCTTCTGAATTAGAAACAACTTAACCCAGGGGTGGAACAAGGTGAGACTATTGTTAACTGTGGATCAGGTGAGGTCCCTAATACTCCTGAAATATGGCTTCTAAAAGCTTGCACACAGCCAAAGAAGGAAGTGAAACATAAACCGGTGCAATTCCCTCACGGGCAGTTGTTACCTGATTGTGTGAATGAATTGTGAGAGACCACCAACCCGCCTCCTCTTAAGAAGCGTCTAGATTTCTACTCCCTCTCCTGTTGACATCAAGCTTCCCGGATTTAGTAATGTTATTTCGTTTCCCAGCCAAGGTACAAGCAAATGCATTACATCGGTTACTCAGAAGCGGAGCCAAATTTATTTCTTAACTGAGTATGTTTGCAGATTTTTCTTTCTTAAAAGGCACAAGCAATACGGTAGCATTGTGCTGTCGGAGGTCAAACAACAGACCAGGCTCCAGCATGAGAAAGGATGCATTCAATTCATCTTTATTATCCTAGTAAAATAAATGCCAGTGGGTTTCTGTTTTGCTTTGGCTTTAAGTGAAACTGTATATATACACTCAAACTGAGAGCTTGCTGCTTTATGTCACAATGTAAAAAAAAAAAAATCTTTCTATGGTCTCTTGTGTTTCACGCCAAGTTTCTAAAATGTCACTGAGTTAAAAAAAATGAATGGGGCTGTAATTACTTTCAACAAAGTAGCCCTTTTAACCCTAATTTTGATGCTATAGATGGCATTTCAGTGCAAGTATGGTGAGCTTTCTTTAAAAGATGAGCTGGGATCCAATTGCAAAATCATCAATAGTCTCCCAATTTAGCATTCTAAACAGCTTTCTAGGTTTCTCTTCCCCCCTAACAGAATTCAATCCCCTTTCAGGGAAAATGTGCAGCCATATTAGTGTTTGCAATATAAAAAAAGGAAACAGTAGCACTTCAAATTACTAATTTAATAAAGATTGTTATAATATGTTACACTAGGCTAGTTATTCCTTATGATTCAATATTCAAGTAACTGGATTTAGCAGAGGTTTAGTTTCTACTGAGGGTTATACCACTACTTAATGTAATTAAACAAATTGGCAGGGGAAACCTCCATGGATATGTCATTTTCTATCAGAAAGAATTCCCACCAGAAATTTAGGGGAATCATAACATATAAACTTTGGTTTTTGTCTTAATTTCTTCGCCACAAAGCCCCCGCTATGAAATTCATCAAGTTCATCATTCCCTCCCCCCAAAGCTTAGTAAAGGGAAAGGAAGGATTCATTCGGCTTTTTTGAAGACACAAAGGGTCGTTTGCAATAAATGATAATCTATGGCAAATAATTGGCTCATTAAAAACATATGTACAAAGCCTAAATAAACAGGTTCTGGAGGGAAAGGAAGGGGCGGGGGGAAGATTTGTTAAGAGACCCTGGTTCTCCTGCACAAACACTTCCACCCACCCAGTTTTGAATCCCTCTGCCAAATGCTTATTCCTATCTCTTGCAGCAGTTAATTCCTCTGAGGAGGTTAATGGTATGGCTGTATTAAGTCCAGAATGGTGGGTGCTGTTCCCCACTCTCACCCACGAGGAAACCATTCAGAGTGGAAGCAAGAAGCATCAGATCATCAGCCAAGGAAGAAGCCAAGAGGATATAGATCTGCCATGAAGAACCATGTGGAGACGCTACATGACAAAACTAGAGTACACCTGGACAAGCATCACAGAAGAAGATGGTGAGCGTGGCACCCACATCTCAGGTTACAAAGGGAGTCCTTTCCTCACGTGCATCAACTCTACACACAGGTAAATGGTGCTACTGCTGCTTAGACATTTGACTTTGCACATGGTGGGAAGCAGCAGCCATTGAAACCCCCCAACATCACACACACGGCCAGGAACCTTCTCACAACGGTAACCGTCACAGCGCAGGTTTGGTGGGGCTACATTCATTCCAACGTAGAATAGTCTTCCGCATAACAATTAAATCCACATGTAATTTAGGAGCTCTTACGATGCTCCCATTCATACAGTTGCAAGCAATCCTGCACAAATGACCGTAGCATTAAAAGTAGCTGGAAAAGGAGTATGTTGTTGGACCAAATTAGATGCAGGGTTTATAACTATAAAATGAAGCAGGGATAAGGGGTGGAGATGATTCCAGGCCTTTGCAAATAAAGCACAGGCACATAAGAAACAGGGAAAGATGCCTTAAAATGAATCAGGCCATTAGTCCATGTTGCTCAGTATTGTCTACACAGACTGGCAGCAGCTCACCAGGGTTTCAGGCAAGGGTCTCTCCCAGCCCTACCTGGAAATACAGAGGACTGAACCTGGGGTCTTCTGCATGTGAAGCAGATGCTCACATAATGTGCCTTTAATGTCTGAGCGTAAGCTCTATCCTAGCATATTTATTACAAAAATAAAATAAAAAACAGAGTACAGTTGTAAAGGTTTTGCTAGTACTACTTCACCCACAAGCCCCGGATTGATTCGCAAAGTATTCATGTGTCTAACGCAACAATCCAATGCACACACTTATCTGGAAGTAAGCCCACGAAAACAATGGGACTTATTTCTGAGTAAACACGCATAGGATTGCGCCAGTCGTCAAAATCTAACTAGCTGTTCTATTTGGAAGTGGAAGGGGATTCCAAACAAAACACAGGTGATATTTAGGTAAAGGTTAGCACCTGATTTATAGAGGCTTTCGTAGAAGAAAACCTAGATTGGGCACATAAGAAGAGATGCCACCTGGCCGCCTAGGAAGGTTCTTTTCTGCTACAATCTGCACTGACGTGTGGACAGACCCAAGCAAGCCAAACCCATACAGTACAGAGCACATCCGAATTGAGAAGAAACAAGAGCCGATTACACCAAAGGCTGTAATCACCACCAGCTTATGACTGTGAGAATTAGTAGCACGTAAAGCCCCAACACCACCAGCTCTCTAGGGAGAAAGAAACAGGCAAATGAAACAAAAAGTATCGTTGGTTTTTATTAAAGCCCCACAACTTACACTAGCACAGTCATTAAACAAGAGGGGAAGGGGGCCATAATAACCCACGTTCTAATTTTTCTTAACTGGTTCGGACCAAATGCCAGTATCATGTTACGTCTCCCTTTATTATTTTATTTTTTGCAGGTTTTAATGCCCTCAATTCTACATCCTCATTTCTTTTGTTAACTGGAAGGGTAGCGGGTTGGCGGGGGGGAGATATCTCAGTGTGGCTGGGAAAAAGGCACTGGATTTTCCAATCCAGCAGTTTACTTGGCAAAGGTAACTGCCGGTTGGCACAATCCACTTGCTTGACAAAAGTACTATTTCTGGGCACACGCTCAAAAACAGGTAGGAAGCAAACACTGAGAAATAAGGAAGTTAAAAAAAAACAGCCAACTGATTTTTTTATTATTATTAATTTTGCCATGAAGCACACTAAGGGTAAATACGATTTATTTAGCTGTGTTAAACACACCTTTCCTGCACGACGTCGCAAAAACTTGCTTACATTTAGAAAAGCGAGAGCAGGGGAACAGGGATGACAGGATGGTTTTTTAAAAGTGGGGGGGGGGGAGAATCCATTATAGATGTGCAAATGTGCTTTTTATAAACTGTTTAAACAGGCTTTTTTTGCACACAAGTGTTTTAAAACCCAAAATATATTCGTGTGTTAAAAGGAAAGCGGCAACAATCTGCTGCTAATGAACAAGCTTCCACTAACAAAAGACGATGGACCCAATTCATACCCAAAATATTTGGTATTTGTGTGGGTGTTGGGTGAGTTCACCGCCAATCTTCTTTCTCCTCGTTTTTCCATACACAGGCTGCAGTTGTATGCGACTCTGCGTTCTCCTGAGCACACACAAACAGAAGACAACAGACACGCAAAACGCATGGGTTGCAGGGAAGCCAACAACCACAGCAACGAAATCTGCCATTCAGTTCAAGAGCAACAGCTTCTGGTTTAATTATATGGAGTAGAAAGAAGAAGAAACAATCGTGTATGAGCAGCATAAAATATTCCAGTTTTTCCCTTTGACTGCAGAAAAGCTCAATGTCTGGTCACATGATCACAAGTGAAATTTACTTAGATCTTTATTCAATTAGGAAGTCGGCAGCCATCTTTTGGCAGCGTGCCGAAATCTGCAATAATAGGGTGGCACTGGGAAGTGGCACGCTCCCCATATAAACGTAACCAGTGGAATAGAGGCAGGACACCCACTGAAGGAGCAAATACTTTGGCATGTGTGCGCCCCCTTCCAAATTGCTCTTTCTTCACAATAACAAACTAAAACCAGAACAAAGTCTTTTGTTTTGTTAAAAAAAAAGAAAACCCGGACACACACAAAAACCCATGTGTGCTGCAGTCAGGGGTGAAGGCAAGCTGGCTGGCAAGCTGCCAAAGTGATACCTCTCCCCTTTTAGATAACTACAAAGGCTGTTTCGGGTGTCCGGTACTCAGGCCATCAGATTAGCAGGATCTGACCTAGTGGTACAACACAAATCACATATTGTCCCAGGTTTCTTGCTCACAATCCTGAGAAACTCTGTGCCTTTTCTTTTTTTTTCTGATTTGCCTCCCACAGTTTAGCGCTACATATTGCAAGTCGCAATGTGGGAAGCTGGCTTCCGAACGCACAACCTTATAATTGATCGCTGTGTGCATTGCGGCCTTTGTAAACCCTTCGGGGTGGGGGGGTCGTGGCTTAGTGGTAGAGCATCTACTTTGCATGCAAAAGGTTGCAGGGTCAATCCCTTGGATCTCCAGGTAGGGACAGGAAATCTGTAACCCCGGAGATCAGCTGTCAATGAATTGTGGACAATACCAAGCTAGATAGAACAACGGCCTGGTACAGCGTAAGACAACTTCCTGTGTTCCTCACCAGTTCCAGCAAGTGTAAATGTTCCCCATCTATACAAGGGGACGCTTGCAAACTGCAATACCCATCACTTATGCCCTTCTTATTTTTAATGTTTGATGTCTCACTGTGTTTTTATATTATGTTGGAAGTCGCCCAAAGTGACTGGGGCCACCAAGTCGGATGGGTGGGGTATAAGTAATACATTATCACTGTCATCATCATCATCCACATTATGCTTCTGTCGCACACACACACACAGAGAGAGAGAGAGATGCGACAAGTCCTAGGCACTCTTCCTGCATGTTTCAGTCCTCCAATTCCTTCAATTCCCATATGCCATTTTCAAACATTTGTTTTCAGCACTTTTGCCAATGTTCAGCAGCCTGTGTTTTAATTGCATGGTTGTACATTTAAACGAAAATACAACGTCCAGATTCTGCTGTACACTGAACTGTCCACAGCAGAGCCAGGGGTCACTCAAAGCCAGAGTTCCAAGTACGGAGACATTATCAACTCCTCAGAAATGTTCTCACATGCTCTCTGTAGCACTGAAGCAGGCAGTTCATTTCTTATCTCATGACTATGTACTCATAAATAGATGTGCAACATTGTGGGATGAGCGTGATAGCCACAGCAAGAGTAGAATAGTGTCTGTTTCCACAATCCCATATTACAGTACAGTCACTAAACCAGAAAGAATAGAAAAAGGATGAATGAAGGCACAGAAGTGTAGAAAAATTATGAATGAAAGTGAAGAGAAACGATTATTGCCACCAAAAGATGAAGAAAAACCCATTCATTTGAAGACATGGAGCAAGATAACCAAGAATACATTGAACACAGTGCTTCTCAAACTACCTGATGTGGTAGACTAGCAACCCGCCCCTGCCCTCTAATGTGCCAAGGGCCAATACCCTATTTGGTCCCTGAAGCATCCCACCCAAACTGGACTGTGCTGGGGTTGCCACAGGTTGTCTATTGACCACCATCTTGAGTAGCACTGCTCTAAGAGACATACAGGGATTCATGATTAATAGCTTAGTAAAGTACACTTCTGTGGGGTTGGAGAGGGCTGCTGATGCAGTGTTTGACCTGCTGGAATGGATGGGGGAAATGGGTGCAAGGTGACTTCAATGATGGATCCTGCAAGGGTGGGGGGAAACACAGAGACTTCTCAAAAATATGAAAAGACATGTGAGCTAAGGTGCCCTCACTAATGCAGCATCTAGGCACTAACTCATTGCACGATGCAAAATATGGTCCTTTCGACTCCTTATTTTTGCAAAGCTCTCAATGAGCAGTTTACAAATTCCCAGTAACTATGGAAAACTTAGGGCAGGTAGGGGTGGAGATAAGATGTTCTCAGTATATCCCCTTTCCTGAGTGCATGAACCTTATCCTCTCCACCGCTGCCTATCCATTTGTCTTCCTCGCTAGGTACAATCTGCATCATCTCCCAGACAAGGTATGTGGAGATGATTGGTCCTCCTCCTCTCTTAGAAAAGACAAGTGAGCAAGCTGCAACAACGAGGAGGAAGAGAAAGGTAGACTAGAAGCCTCCAGGGAATTGAAATGAGATTCCTGTTGGCGTGTGGGCCTTAGGAGGCATCCCACAATGCTGGCCCTTGATGCCAGCCCTGACTTTTGGAGTCATCACGTCTGTAAAGAGGAGAATGGCTATAAACTCACCAACCACATTTCTCACCCATGCAACTCTCTTATGGCTGTGCAATTAGTCTGCGCTGCTTCAAGCTCCATGCTATATCTCCGATAACATGTCACTAGATTCCCCCCCCCTCTTTTCCCTTCCCACATTCATAACCTCCAACACTGGGTCTTGTACACTTGATGTAAAAATGTTGCATCCTATGTGAACTTACAGAAGTGCCTTTCCTTCTGTACAGAGGCACACTAATTAGACTACAAGGACCGTAGTTTGGCCAGAGATCTAAACTGCAGCATTCTTAGCTTAAGAATTAATTTGACGGCCCCAACATGTGATGCTGCCCGGACGGTAGAACTATGGGAAGCAACCTACTACAGACCCAACTGCTAAGCAGGAAGTAGGGGCACCCAGAACATGAATTTTAAAATGGCTTCTGTAATTACAGGGGGCCTGCAGCTGAGCTCACTGAAACCAAAAAGTAATGTTTCAGAGTTCACGTTATGCACTTCCCACAGTGTTTACATTTTGGCCCTCCTATGTAAATCAGTTCCTGTAAGAGAAGGGAGGCACTCAGCAATAAATACAAGAGGTGACAGTCAAATGAGATCTCCTTTTCGGGATTGGCCACTAAGCTAGGCTATTGCATAATAGTCCATAATTTCGATAGCACCTTGAGAGCACTGCACAATTTTAATTTTTTCCCCATGAAGCAGTCCAGTGTGGTAAATTAGACCTAGCAAACTTCCACTGGCCAAACATTGGCAGCAGCATGATTGAGGATTCTACACAGAAAGCACCTCTGTGAAGAAATTATTATTATTATTATTATTATTATTATTATTATTATTAATTCTCTAGCCACTCTGGGTGGTTTCCAGCAGAATATAAAAACATGCAACTGCCTGCATGCTACAATAATCACATATGAGGGGCCATGATTAATTTTTACTGTGTGCACATAGCCAATTCTTCATGTGTGCATACCAAAAAGTCCATACACGCATGATCAACAGATATAACACTGTTTCCAAAGAATGTAGGATAACTGCTCCATGGAATAAGCATTATTCTCCCAACATGTGACACAGCCTTGAGCAGAGATTTGAACCTGGGTCTCAATCATTCACATGCCTTGGTAACAACTTGTCACCCATCATGGACTCTTAGTGCATGAACTAGTAATGCTGAGCGTTTACATAGAGCTGTTTTTCAGATGTCCAAACTTTCAGTAATCTCAACCACAACCCTGCAAAGTTGGTTGATATTATTACAGTGGTACCTTGGTTTACGAACTTATTCCGTTCCGGAAGTCCGTTCTTAAACCGAAACTTTTCTTAAACCGAGGCGTGCTTTCCCTAGTGAGGCCTCCCACCGCCGGTGCCCTTCCACCGTTCGGCTTCTGTTCTTAGACCGAGGTAAAAGTCCGCAAACCGCGACTCTACTTCCGGTTTTGCAGAGTTTGTAAACCAAATCGTTCTTAAACCGGACTGTTCTTAAACCGAGGTACCACTGTATCTCCCAAACAAACAGGGGCCATTTCTCCCAGCACACCAGGTCTGGAACAACGATGTATGTGAAGGACTACACACGCAAAATGGATTTTTATATTCCTAAGATGTCACAGAGGCACTGTTTGTAAGGAGGAAAAAGCGGTCAGCTGGAAGAATGGACTAACGACAAGTGAAGGATGGCCACTGGACATTAAATAAGAAAATGATGCAGCTACAATTGACATGCACTTGCAACAGGAGAGGGAAACCTGATTTTAAGAAATTTTACTAAATTAAAAGTAATTTTTTTTATTTGTAGTAATTTGGAAAATGAATAAAAACAATTTGGAAAAACAAAGAGGGGCCATTTAACTGGGGAAGGAGGTGTAGCCAGAAGTGGCTGAAGGAGCCAGGAGGAATCACAGAGTTAGAAGGGACCCCAATCTGGTCCAACCCCTGCAATGCAGGAATCTCAACTAGTAAAGAGCACGCTAGATCGCACACAATGTATGGTTTATCATTACATGCAAACTCACTCAGTGAGTTCCTGATGCAGGCAAGATCTGAACCTGAGATTTCCTAGTTCACAACCGCTACTGATAATACCAGCTCACAAATCATTCCTGTCTGTGTCTTCCCCGTTCCCTCATTCCATCAGCTGATTCTAGTTTTGCCTCAGCAACACCCATCTCTTCTAGACACCTTCGTTTTATTGCCCCGGGGGCCAAAGCCTGTGTTTTCACAGGCAGACTACTGCAGGGCTGAATACACAGATAATTGGACATAATGTTGCACAAACCTATCCCTAACATCATTATCATGATTACTACGTTGCTTATCTTTTTAACAGATACATATTCTTCAATGCAAACTCTTGGCCAACTTAATCAAGTCAAAACAAAGGAGCCTTAGAGAAGCACCCAAAAATGGAACATCCTTCTGGGATTAATCCCAGAGGGCAATGTTCCCACCCATTTATTTATTTCATATTTTTTTTAAAAAAGGGCTACGTTTTATGTATATTTTTTTTACTGCTAATAGCAATTTATTATTTGAGCATCAAAGCCAGCAACTTTACAAGACATATTTAAATTGAATTATTCAGCAGAATGCATGGTCTATGACGCCTGAAATCTTGGACACTCACCAACAGAAAGTAATCCAATAAAAAAAGGTGTCAGCTTGCCTGCTTTCTGGCTCTCTGTTTTCACACAGACAGGCTGCGTTTTTATCCCCACCCACCCCCTCCTTTCAAAGATCTACAGCCTTCCAGACCAATGAAGGAGTCATTGAAAATCAATTTTCTCACTGATGCTCCAAAGGTGGCTCTTGGTATGCCCAAGATGAAGGCGGCTGCCACGAAACCAATAACCAAATGAGATGAAACGCAGTGTCCACAGCTACTCATTGCAGCTTCCAGCTCCAATTAAAAGAAACACAACTTTCGTGAAAATTGCACTTAACCGTTTCTGCGACGGCACCTTTAAGCGTGCAAATCACTTTACAAAGCACATTTCAGGTAACCTTTTTTAAAAAATAAGATAAAACAACAACAACAGCCCTATGAGGAAAGTTAGGCCAAAACAGAAGGAGTCCACACGTCCAATTTAACAGCCCCTGTATGCAACAAGGGTCTCTGGCAATTGTAGTACCCTCATGCTACTATAACCCTTTGAGGGGAAGCCAAGAGAATTACACACCTGCTTCAAACTGGTTTAAATCTGTGGTGTAAGTGTGCCCATGTGGTGT